TATATTAGCCTGAACAAAACGTTTCCGAAAAAAAGAACTTTTTTTGACGGCGTCATAATATTTTTTATACATGAAGGCTTGACAATAAAATACCAGCGAATAAACTTGATCAATATGTGGAGGGAAAATCTCCACGGGCAAAGGTAAGTGTACGGCAGTCTGGCGATGTGTTTCTAGAAGAGCACAATACTTTACAGCATGAGTACTACACCTATCAGTGATTCAAAGGTCCCATGGCGCTATCGCAAGATAAAGGGGCGTTCTGATGACCGCGTGAAATATACTCTTCTTCACAAACAAGACTAAGCTTTAGGCGGTGAGGAGAAACTCCAGAGTGCGTGAGCAATTTTGGCTCACCACAAAGTTCCAGCTCCCACTGGTTAGGGAGGGTGTCCCGTATTTTGCGATAGCGTCACCCGCACTATAGAGGATGAATAGGGTCGTGTATAAAGCAGCGCTTGCCCAAAAAATGGACCATACTGTCAGAGATTTTGCGGTGAGCTGGGTGCCGAAGCAGAGTTATCAATTAGAACAACTAACAGTGGTCGCATCACAATGGGGTCTTTGTTTAGGAGGATAAAACAGGATAGACGTCGCAACGAGATATCAGCAGTTGTGTGCCATGGCGCTATCGCAAGATACGAGGGTATCCCTTATGGTTAAATTAGGCATAAGAGGAGCAGACGCGCTGGAGAAAACTGGATTCGCTCACCCACCCTGGAGACTCCCCTAACCCCCTTCAAAGGCTTATTCCCATTTATGACAAGCAAAAAGACGGCTGACGTGGCCTTAAATGTGTACCTGAAGCAATACCCCCGCCCACCTTGCGATAGCGTCAATCTCGTTTGGGTCAGCTGACTACGTTCGCTGCAGCTAGACCGTAAAACAACAGGTCCTAAGCATCGCAGTGCTACGGTAGTTGCAAACCTTCAGTACGGTGGTGCTTCCAAGTGAGCTACAGAAAATATTACAGTAATTTCGGAAAAATGATGAAAATACGAGGCTCTAGCCAGTCTGGGAACGTATGGGTTTTAGAGAATAGTCAGCAGTTCAGCGCAGCCAACAATTCCGCCAGTTTACGCCGCGCATTGCGACCTGAATCAATGATCGCATACGATTTGAAGGGGAATGAAGATTTGAGAGAACGGAAATATTTAAAATCGCTCGGAAATCGATTCTGTCCCCCTCCTGTGTGTAAAAAAGAGGTTCCGCCTCTATGGACCCTTATATCTTCGGGATGTTCTGAGCTATTTTATACTAACAGCACTCGAGCTAGTGCAGATGGGTTATATTTAACCAGAGCGCCACATGCAACTACTCAAAAAAATGCAGGCAGTATGAACGACAGGAGGAAAAGAAAGAGGAAGAGGAAAAAAGAGGTCCCCAATGGACTTGCTATATCAAAAAACAATCATTCCAGCCAAGGAAAGCAAAAAAAAGTAGAAAATTGGCTTGGTGAATTGTTGCGGACGAGGATGTGTATGAAAAAGCTCCCTAAGATGTTCTATAGAAATCCGGGCTCTGCTAGTAAATCGGCCCGAGAACGCGACATTTGGGTCAAGGATAACTAAAGTAAGCGCTGCTGTTCTGGCGCTGTTGATGCTACGTGGACGAACAGACGACTCATTTATCGATCTACGGCTTTCGGAGGGTTTGGCGAAGAAAGCAAAACTGGCCAATGCTACGTGGAGCGTAATGAGTGTAAAGTGACCCGTCTGGCGGATCTGGTCTCGCATTGTCAGTTGTGCCCAGTGAAGTGGACACAGGCCCGCCCCACGGCCAAGCTGGCAACTCCCCCAGATCAATGGTCGGCAGTGTGGGGAATAAAGTTTCAACAGAGTGGTTGCTATTGGTGGGTTTCATCCCCGTCACGCTAAAACTGTGCGTGCAGCAAGGAGCACACAAAGTAATTTTCCGTGGATTTTTCCCCTGCTTCCGTCCTGAGGCAAATTTTTGCCCGTTACCTCGGCAAAATATCCCCCTTGTGATAACAATCTATAATAGAATATGTTCTTCGCCAATGAAGCCTTCAAATGTCGTTAGAGTCCAAAAATTCTTCCAAAATCGGATGGCTGACTAAATGTTCTCCTTCTTGTAATAAAAGGACCGTTTAGTATCTGCCACTAATCTCCGCGGCCTTCCGTACCTTTTGTGATACTTCCAATGAGAACTCTTTGCTAACTGTGAGATCTGCCAGCTAGCTGTCGGCAGTAAACTTCGCAAGTTCGGGTTAGCAGAATTTTGTTGGATACCATTGAGTGGGGTGTTTTCTCAACTATCTCCAGCAATTTGCTCGTCTACCAGAAGAAAACGAGCGAAAACTAATGGTAAGAGGGGAAGTTCGAGTAAATCACCCAGTGCAACCAGTTTTCAATCATCGAGTAATTGTACGACTTGACGGTTTTGCCTGAGAAATGCAATGATCCAAGAAATCAGACAAAAAGGACACTCTCAGCACAATTCCATCGAACTGCTGCAACTATACTCATATGGTACAAACACCTCACTTAAACTGAGAAAATCCCTCACATCGCAGAGCCTTAAAGGCCAGCGGTTACGATAGCTTCTAAGAGAGGTTTTATACAGAGGGATGAGGTTACTCCGTTGGACGCTCACATGACGAGAAAGGCAGAAAGATACCGGTAAAAAAACGCGAAAAAAGGGGGACCCCCTTAATTGGCGTTGATCTTTCGCTTCGGCGGAAAGATCAGATGGACGGATGACGGAGTTTACCGCACAGCGTTTTGTAGGCCCCATAGCCTAGTCCCCTGCCCCCGGCCGTGCTGCTCCAGTTGTGTCGCTACTGGCAGTACAGCACGTTCAGTTCCCCGTAAATAAACTAATGTGGGAAGAATAATTGGGAGGTGCTTTCGAAGTCCTGCTCAACAACCTTGCGCACCTTTTCTGGTGGATGCGCCTCATCTCGCCTCTTTGGCAGCCAGGCTACTACGTCCCCAATACGCTCCCTCTTTATCGTAATCGTTTCCTTTAAAAGGATAGGAGGCTTAGCTGACTTCGACAGGATTCGATCCAGGAACCACACAAGTTATGGCAGCGCCTTCTGCCACTAACCCAGAGCATGGCATCACAAAAGGTCTTACGATTCCTTGCAAAGAACGCCATTATAGAAGGCATGATACCATTTTATTACACAATCTGTACAGTACCTGGACTAGCGCAGATCGTTACTAGACAGTGTAAAACTTTTTCGAACCACATAATATTAATACAATCACAAACGCCAACAATCATCAACAAAGTTGAAAGTGAACTAATAGAATATATTAACTACATAGTTAAGACACATTGAACACAAGGCAATTCACAAAAACGAAGAGGTGATAAATCAGAGATCACTCTTCGGATCCGTTTAGCATTCCGCGTTTATAGTTCATCTTTCTTAATGAGCTTCTCAAGGACAATATCGAAAACGAGTTTGGCCTTGCCGGGGATCTGGGGAAGTCGTCCCTCATCGCCGTAACCTGAAAAAAACTGGGTTACGTAGGCGATCCTTCACTGAAGGAATTTCGTTTGCGTACCCATATCGGATGGGATGACAACGTGGCGACGTTCTCCCTCACACATATTCGTCATTGCGATATCCATTCCCTTGATGACTTTCTGAAAAGACGAGCATAAGGGGGGGTCATTGTAATACGGTAGAAGTTAACACTTACTCCTTGGTTGAGTTGGAAGATGTATGGCTTGCTGCGTGAGTAGGAAGAGTCGACGAAAGTTCCGTTCTCAAGGTGAAGCTCATACTGCTGATGGATGGTATCTCCAGTTTCGGATTTGCGGCATTTGTCCTCATCGATTTTGTGTGTCACCTAAAGATGGCAATAGAGATAAAGGTAATCTTATGCCGGCATAGCATGGGTAGCGGGTTCAAAAGTAAAGCAGAAGGCAGCCGAATA